ACCCTCCACGAGACCAGACCTCTCCACACGGCCAAAAGCAAAACGGCTCTCCCCACCAAAGTCGAGTCCTCGGTCTTTGTACATACATACATGACCGGATCCTGCTGAACAAGCTCCTCTTGTAGCTCGATCGGTCACACCGCCATCAACCGCCGACGTCTCCCCTCTGGGGGGAGGCGGGGGCCCCCGGAGGCACCGCGCGCCGCACCGCAGTGCGGAAACGGGGGGCCCGCCTCGCGCAAAAAAAATCAAGCTGACTTGGCTCACGGGACCCACAAAAAAAATTAGATATTCTTACCTTCTTGCCCCCCTCCGAGACTGGAGACAGTCACACCCCAGTATCAGACCAGGGGGAGTGCCCCCCGCCCCCGCTTGCCCTGCCTGCGCAGGATAGCGTGCCCCAATCGGCGACACATAGCGGGGGACACTGCGCAAGGAGGGTGCGACGGCTTTCTTTGTCCTCTCGAGGGAATGTTCTCTCGGCGCCCATGGCCTTCTGAGGTTTCGTACTGATGACGTCCTTCTTGGCACTTCGGGCGTCGGTGTGTGTGATCCCTCGGTAATGTGCTACGGGTATGGGCCGCCGGTTCGACGCTACCGGTCCACGAACATCTACTCTGCTGAGGTCGGTCGGTGGCACCTCGGATGGTCGAGTGGCCTCCGGTTCGAAATCGGCGAGTTGACCCTTATATTTTTTCACACCTGAGCGGGCTCAATTTTGCTCTGATGCCTCCTACGTATTCGAACAAGTTCTCGGGCAGGCGCCCGGTGCGTTGGTCGTTTTTCGTCACGGGAGGGCCCGCCTCGCGCAAAACGGGCCCGGCAAACCCTCCTGCCCGGGCCCGGCTGTGAGTGAGCGGGCCGGTCGATGTGCCGCAGACGGGCCCGGGCAGGACGGTTTGCTGGGCCGGTTTTCTCCTCGCCGGGCCCGCGCGCCTCGCTCCTCGGCCTGCTGATTTGGGCGCTTCGGCCTGGGAGTGGCAAGCCGGGCCCGGCAAAGCGCGCGGGCCGGGCCCGGCACAGGGGCAAGCCGGGCCCGGCAGGGCGCGCGGGCCGGGCCCGGCACGGGCCCGAGCCGGGCCCGGCAGGGGCCCGAGCCGGGCCCGGCAGGGGCCCGAGCCGGACCCGGCCTGGCCCGGTGCCCCACTTTGCAAATCGACCCGTTTCCCATCCAATATCTCCCACTCGGCCGCGGAGGCCCCAAGGCCCCAACTGAGAGCGGGGCCCGGGGGAGGGGGTCCCTGCTGGTCGTTCCCACCCTTCGCACGACCCCGGGCGATAGCGGGGGACCCCGCAGCAGCAAACCCGCCCCACTTACATCCGGCGGCTTCCTACGGATCATGTACATCGCTTGTCATCGCTTTTTGCCACTGGTTGTGACCCCTCCCCCGGCTCCGCTAGTCTCCGCTAGCACCGACTTCCCGATCTAACCCGGTCTAACAGAGGGCAGATTTGGAGAGATCTCGAGGAGTACATACAGATAGACCCTCCAATCATCAGAAAACTCCGACCTGATCGGTCGTACTGACCGCCGACAGATCACTCCAGACAGCAGACAGGCCGACGTCTGCACGCGGCCGGCCGGGCGAGAGGCTTGACACGATCCGACCCTGCGACCCTGACGCTGCTGCTCTAGCTATCAGACATGCACTACTGACTGCTGCCACAATATGCGACCGGTGCTGGCCCACTTGGCGGCCTTCCCGGTCAGTGGTGAGGCGCAGTTCAGAGCTGTCGATGGCGCGATGCCGCACTGGTCCCACATTGGTGACACGAGACCACCACGTTTGCCGGTCCAAGAGAGAGGCACCGGCGCTGTCGTAAGAAGGTGCATGGTCCCTCTTGACTGCCCATGCGCGCGAGGCTGTGTAGGCATAGCCTCGAGAGTGCCAGCAGCCAATCCGAGGCAGCTTGTGACGCGCATTGCGTCAGAAGAGTGCACGCGCTGGAAGGACACCTTCCTACTGGCCGTACAATCACCTGCATAGCTCGCGACCTTAGCATCCAGCATTCAGTGACGACCTGATTGTGCAGCAGGGCACGGTCAGCAGCGCCGACAGGCTGTCGCAAGGCGTGATAGCATGGTCGCAATACGCGAAATTCTCATGAAAACAAGTAGAAAATCGCGCTCAAAAGAAAAATCGCGTAAAAAATTGTGCGGGCCATGGGACCCCATTTCCCCCCCGCATGGGTACCCCCTAGGGGCCCCGCTTCCCCCCAGAGCGTCTCCCAGTGAGATGATGGAGAGGGAGGGAGGGGGGACGACACCGCTCGATCTACCCTCCGGGGTCAGCGGCGTGCACCTCGATCCTGCACCGTGTTTGTTATGACCCCCTCCAATGAGCACACCAGCGAGGGAGGGCGAAACGAGGGGTCCCGTACCATGTGGGACCCTACCAATACACCAATGCTGAAGTGCTCAGTGGAAAGGAGGATTTCAGGTATAATTCATGTATGGGAGTATGCGAGTAGAACACTGCTGAACTGAAATACACACGTATTTCCAGTCCAATCACAAGTACACATACTTTAATACTTGATTTTATCTCTTTCAGTGTGTGGGCGAAGTAGCGGAGTAACTGGGAGGCTGCGGCGCAATACGACGCAATATGGCAGTAGGCGCGGCACGCTAGGACGTATGCAGGTACGCCGGGCGCCTCCCACAGTATGGGTACTGGTGTACTGCATCATACTTGGGTATGTCGAGCCTTGGAGTATCGCAGTATCTCGGAAGCACCAGTGCAGTATCTGCCAGTATTCTCCAGTATTCTCCAGTATGGCCCAGTACAGCAGTATGAGGGGAGGCATCGGGCCAGACAGTGACACAGCAGGTAGCGCGCCTCTGGCTCAATTTTGCTCTTCTTGAAACCGGTGATGCTGCGCAGTTTTGCCAGGGCCGCCACTGTCCTCGTGTTTGATCCCGACCGAGTGCGCAATGTCTGGAAGCGACACATAATGTGTGCATGTGCATGTGCACATCGAGGGGGAGAGGTGAGAAGCTGGCAATAGCTCCAAAGTCGCAATCGTTGGCGTTGGAATGGGACGGCTCGAGCAAATGCATCAATCCCGCAGTGCCGAAGGTAGTGGTAACAGGATGTTGTACGGGGGTGCGCACGGCAAGAGTTCTCACGAATGCTGGTGCCGGCTGTAGCATGGCGCTGTGTCAGCACAGGAGTATGTCTGGCCAGGCAAGCTGAATGTGGACATCTCGTCCCCGTTCCTAAATGAATGAAGAGACCAAACTTTGGAGCCGCTCTTGTCCTGGGCAACGTCCTGTCGCGTTTGCCAGTCTGCGGTCGCGCTATCTACCAGCCTCGTTCGTTGCACCAAGACGGCAGCCGTGCGCACGAGGTATGTGCGTGAGTCGTTTTTGTGTGTGCGGTTCGGGAAACATGCGATTCAATGCGCAGTGGCGCGTCGCCTTTGCTGGAGAGTCAACAACGGCCTCTCGAGTGGCAAGTCCTCAACATGAAAAAACAAAAGAAGGAGGAGCAGAGTCTTCAATACCTAAATTTGGGGGGACGCACGAATATGAGGTTTGTGCGACACATGCATTCGGTCGGCATGCTCGCCCTCGTGGCGGGCATGCCCCTGACCTACACCGTGCGGGACTGTGGCACCAGGCGCGGTACACTGTATGACACTGGCTTCCTTCCAAGCACGTTGCAGACGGCTTGGGACAAATACAGCGGCGCGGTCGGCAACGTCCTGCCGCCCACCAGAAGCGACCACAAGCGGATTGTGTGGTCATCTGCTTGCGTGTGCGATGTGTTGTGGCGCAGATTGCGCTTGTGCGATGTGTTGTGGCGCAGATTGCGCTTGCGTCCCAAGCCATTGGCCTGGTGCAGCGCCAGCCCCCCGTTTTCTGATTCAGTCGCGCAGGCGCGGTCTTTTCTTTTTCCAGGCGCGGTCGGGCACTTGGGGTGCGGCGCGACTTGCACTAGTGCGCGTTCCGTGGGGCTTGGCGACAGAGCGATCGCCGTGCTGTGGATCATCGGGGCACAAATCCACAAAGGCCTCTCCTCCCTCCGCGTTGCGACGAGCTCAGCCACAAGTACGACGGTTGCGGACTGCGCATTCTGGGGACGGTGGACACAATCCATTGGTTCATCCCGTCTGGTGCGTCCCGTCCTAGCACCCCTGCTCGATCGCCGTGTTCCGCCACCACCCACGAGAGTCACATCTCATGAGTCACACCTCGCCACAGTCAAACTCGCATCAGTGGGAGTGGGAAGAGGCGGCGTGGTGGCTCTGCGTGTGCGTGGGCGCGCGCGCACCTGCAACCACAACCTGTTTGTGATGCCGCTGCAGGATAGGCCGGCCTCTTCAGGATGCCTCGTTGCCTCTTTAGGACTGCCCATCGACGAGCGCTGGATCAATCCATTGAGCAAGGACCGCCCAGCAGTAGTTGCAGTATGCGGCCGGCATTAAGCTAGCTAGCCCTTGCAAGGCCAGGTGCGCCGCCGAGCGCCGCTGCTAGCAGTTGCAACCTGGGAGTGTGAGTTCTGGCTCCGGGTGCTCTAGTGAGTCTGGCAGCCGAGTGGTAGATCCCGCCGCAGCACTGCACATGCACCAGTATGGAGCAGTATTCTCCAGTATTCTCCAGTATGCCCCAGTACAGCAGTACGGATGGAGCTGTGATGCAGTATCCAAGTATGATTACTTCGCCGTATTGGGATATGGTGCGCATGTGAGGTACAGCAGTAAGGGGAGGTATCTCATGCAGTATTGCAGTATGATGAGACTGCATGTCGCGTATCAGGCTGTACCCACGTACCGGTTGCGCTGGCTCGGTGTACGGGAGTGGGGATATCTGACCAAACTAGAGGAACGCATCAGGGCAGCTATGGCAATATTGGCGGCTATTCTTGCAATATTGTAGTACGACACAGACGCGGCGAGATAAAAATACCTCATATCTGAGATCCTTCTATCCACTCAAAGCTCGGGGTTGCATATTGCAATAGCTGCACACCACGCCGCCGCGACGGCGCGGTGGCATGGGGAATGCGAACGCCGACGCGCTGGACGGGTCCACAGCGGTCCGCGAGAGCTGCTACGCCGATCGCAGCGCGGTGGTCACCTGCACCCTGTATAGCATTTGCACTGCGGCGCTGCTGCTGCTGAACAAAGTGATCATAAGCTATGCGCCGCTGCCGTCGATGGTATCAACGCTTCAGTTCTTGGCGACCGTGCTGGCGGCGCTCTTTGCGATGGTCCAGGGCGTAGCTCCGGTGGACCGCTTCCTGTGGGAGCGCGCCAGGCATTACCTCCTGTACGTGGCGATGTTTGTGACGACCATCTACTGTAACTTCAAAGTGCTCGAAGTGTCCAACGTGGAGACTCTGATCGTCGCACGATCCTGCGTGCCGTGCCTAGTCGCGCTGCTCGAGTACGCCTTTCTGGGCCGCCAGCTCCCATCCTGCCGCTCGTGGCTCGCGATGCTCGTCATGTGCAGTGGCGCGGTGGGCTACGTTATGAGCGACGCGGGCCTTGATGGCAGGGTTGACAGCATACACCTGGATCACAGTCTACTTTCTCGTGGTAGCAGTGGAATCCGCCTACGGCAAGCATATCGTTGGCCCACACCTCGGCTTTGGAAGCATGTGGGGTCCGACGCTGTACACCAACACTATCTCCATCCCCCCGATGGTCGCTATCGGGCTCCTCTCTGGTGAGCAAGAGGCTCTCTTGCGTCACGCCGACTGCTCCAAGTCCAGCCCGGTGGAGGATGCCGACTCGAACCAAGCCGTCGTTCTTCTCGTCCTCATCTCGTGCGCTCTCGGCGTGGCTGTCGCGTTCCTCGGCTTCGAGGCTAGGAGGCTCGTGTCGGCGACGTGCTTCACAGTGTTGGGCGTGGCGGGGAAAATGGCGACGGTGACCGCCAACGGGCTGATCTGGGACAAGCACGCCTCGCCCGAGGGTATTGCGTTTCTGGCGGCCTGCCTGGCCGGTGCGGCCATATACCAGCAATCTCCGCTGCGAAGCGGGGCGATCCAAAGGAGAGATGACCGCGAGATGACGATGCAACCGATTCGTCAGCCGGTGAGCGTGCGCGACGAAGGAGCTAGCGACAGTCCTAGCCACCAGCGTGTGTGAGACCCAAGGTGAGAGTCGTTAGTGGAATGGGTTGACACATTGTGGCGCGATCGGAGCCGCAGCGTGGGGCTACTGGCCCGCTGGGCGGTGCACTTGTGTGTGTGTAAAAGTTTCTTGACGCACGACAAAAAAAGTTCAAAACCCATTTCAAAACGTTCTTCTCCCCGCTCTCTCGGGGGCGCTTCTCCGGTTCATGTCGATGTCGAAACCGCGCGCGTTATCTCTCGAGTTCGTCTTTAGATCTCTTTAGCACGACACACACGCGTCGCGGTTGTGTCTCAGAGAGTATCCTCCCGCTCTAGTGCGTGTAGTGAGGAGAGGGCTACGGTGCGATAGATTGCGATCTATGAAAGCTGGTGGCTGAAGTTGGAGTGGTGAGGTCTAAGCTGTTCTCGCGAGCCGCGCCCCCGCCGCCGCGGCGTGGAGTGGCGAGCAGTTCAAGTGTGTAGCTGTATCTGGAGCGGGTAAGGAGGGCGTGGCGCTAGCGGGCGGCAGCGGCCGCTCGCTCTGCCATGGCCCTGTACCACGTGCAGGGCTTGCGATGTTTCCCCCACCAGCCATCCCCGTGGCGGCAAGTCAGGTCGTAGTGGTTGACCGAGGCGAGGTAGTGCTCTCCCCGAGGGTCGCGAGAGAGCTTGGCTCCCGCAGGGGCGGGGCAGCCGGAGAGCGGCACGACGGCGTCATTCTTCTCGCTAAAGTTCACCCAAGAGGCGAGCGCACGCAGCTCGACCGAGTTGATGCTCCACAGGCCAAAGGGCGAGTCGCCGCACATCGAGCCGTTGACGCGGCCGAGCCAGGGGCGGAGCCTGGCGAAGGCGGGAGAGGAGCGAGCGAGCGCCCTGTAAGCCGAGCTCACGCTGCCGTTCGGGCCGTCGCAGAAGCCCACGCGCTTCGCCAGCGCGCGCAGGACCGGCTCGACTGGGCCGCGGTCGGTCGGCGGCGAGTCTCCGCAGAGCTCCGGGAGCGCCTCGGCCGCCTCGGTTCCCTCCCACGGCGCGCCGACCGAGTACCACGCCGTCGCCTCGCCGAGCGCGCAGAGCCCGCTCTGCAGGGCGCCGGCGAGGGCGAGGCTTCCCATCGAGTGCGCAAAGATCGTGGTGCAGCGCCGGCGCGGCGACTCGGAGGCCGGCCGCGTCACGAGATCGCACACGCGCCGCTGGAGCCGCTCGTCCGTCCAGCCGCGGTGCAGCGTGTCCTCGAACATGAAGATGAACTCGGCGCACGGCCCGCTCAGCTTGTCGTCGACCGAGCCCCAGTAGCCCGGGTCAGACGTCAGCGGCGGCCGCGCGTACCCGTTGCCGGCGCCGTGCAGGAACACGCAGGTGCAGCCGCCGCCATCCTCCGACCGCCACAGGGACAGGGCACTCGCGGCGAGGCGCGGTAGCGCCAGCGCCAGCAGCGCCACGGCAGCGAGCAGCAGCAGCAGCAGCAGCGCGCCGGCGGCGCACAGGCGGCGAGACGCCGGCGGAGCTGCGCCGACAAGCACGTAGGGCGTTGACGGCATGCCCCGGCAACGCCTTGTCCAGCGTGTTTCCAAACCCGTAGAGGTGGCCCACCGACGCCACAGTGCCACCACATTGTCCCACGAGCCCCTCCCCACCCACCGTCGTCGACTTGATGAGCGAGTTCCAGGACTTGACCTCGTAATGCACGTCCCGCATCGCGGCGAAGTCACCGCCGAGCTCGCAGATGTCAGTCACGGACGTGTCGTTGAGGTGCCACGTCACCTCGGGCTTTTCCTTGTCCCCGAGGATGATGCTGCCAACCGAGCGCGCCCGGATGGCATTCTGGGCGGCCCTTAGCACCCCGTTGTGCTTGGAGGTGCGGTCGCCCTTGTTGGAGTTGGCGAGGGAGTCGCCCTTGCGCTCTCTCCCACCGACCGACCGTGACGTGCTCGCCCGCAGCGGCCCGCTCGTTCGTCGAGAGTGGGCGCGATCACCGACAAGTATAGAGCCCGTGCCTGCGCTGCAAGGCGCGCGATACACGTCGCGCGCTGTATGTTCCGACTGCGGCGTGTTTTTGTCGATCTCCTCGCACGCACGCCGCCAGGCATGCAATCAATCCACGCTTCGCGGGCCCTGACAGCCGCGAGCGTGCCCTGTTTCGGGACTGGAGAGGTGCTCGTCGCCAATTGGCGGGAAGCGCTGCGCCGACGGCAGTATGGACGGGCAGCAGCGGCCGAAAAAGAAAAGAAAGAAAACGGACAACCCAAGGGAGGGATGGGAGGACGGCACGCCGCCACCACACAGGGATTTTAAGGAGAGGGGTGTGGTGCGCTAGTCGTCGCCCACCCTTGGGCGTCCGCCTCTTCCTATCTCTCTTCGCAGTCTCTCGCCGATTCTCGCTGCAACCTTCATAATGCCACCTCGCGGTCGTCCCACTCTCGTCGTTCTCTCCCTTGTCGCTTCTTCTTCTGTCGCGTCGCTCGGCCGATAAATAAATAAATAAAACGGGCACGCCAAACGAGGGGTGGGAGAAGCACAGGGTCCCCACCTGCACGAGCAGGATCTTGTAAGGACGATCAGGGACACAGGGGAACGGGAGCGGGGAGCGCATCGCGACACGGAGGGGGGCTGGGCAGGGTTCACGGCCCACACGACAGGGTCCCAGGGATTCCTCTCTCGTATAGGACAGGTTGCACCCGGCGGCACGGGGGCAGGCGCGGGCCTCCTACTGGTTGCGCTCTCCTAGTTCTCCACTGCTCCTGACAAGGGACAGCGACAGGCTCGCAGCACGGTGGACTCCCTATTCCACTGGCGATCTCTCTCGACTAGCGACCTTCCTCCGGCTTCTCACCAGCAGTCTCTCACTACCACGGGCACACTGACAGAGGCGGCCAAAAGGCTCACGTGGGTGGCAGGGCGGTGATAGGAGTCTCCCACTCTGTGGGCTTCGCTAGAGGTGCGGCCCCTGCGCGTGTCCTCGCCCTCTTGCGGTCTTGAAGGGGAAGGGGAAGGGGCTGTGTGTCTGTGTATGTGTGTGTGTGTGTGTGTGTGTGTGTGTGTGTGTGTGTGTGTGTGTGTGTGTGTGTGTGTGTGTGTGTGTGTGTGTGTGCCTGCGGGCGCTGTGCGAGCCGCCCTGAACGACCACAATGTTGAGCGCGCTCGAGCACCGAAGCGCCGGCGAGCACCACCGCCCCGCGCCTTGGCGTGGGTCGGTAGTACACGATGCGGCGCCCAGCATGCTCTATCATGCGTCGCACCCGCAGTGGCCGAGCCGACAGCCGCTCGAACTGGCGCCGAGTGGCTCCCAGATCGAGCGCGGCAGTCTCAGTCGCACCTCGTCGCGGGGCGAACGCGAACCGAGCCGTCGCCGTTCGCCGCAGCCGCCAGCCGCCAGCCGTCAGCCGTACAGACGTACAGCCGTCAGCCGTCAGCTCGCAGTCGCCGTCGCTGCCGCCGCCGCAGCAGCAGTGAGCGAGCTCCTGCGTCGTGTTGCCGACGCAGTGTGGACGCGCGCCGCCCAGCGGCGAGCGAGCGTGCTCGTAGTTGGGTCGGCGCGCGCGCGGGCGGACGGCGCCTGTAAACAGACAGCCTGCACCGCCCACTCGTTCAAAATCAGGAGAGGTACGTCTGGCCGAGCAAAACTGCCATTGGGAGCAGCACTTGGAGCACTTGGAGTGCAGTTATCAGCCTCACATCCAGGGCCGGGGAGCTGAGAAGCGCACCCAGCGGGCCGGATGATCGGGATCGGGCTACGGGCTAGAGAGCCCTGACCCCTAGCTAGGGAGAATGCGTTCGCGGGGAAGGGGCCGTAAAAAGTAAACACAGGTCTCCGAGGGTTGGACCCGCGTACCGGGCTTCCCCTTAACTGCAGGACGCCCCCTCTACTCGGAGCTAGTGGACATTACACTGTACACCACGCCCAAACACAGACACTTATAAATAAATAAATACAACGGACATCCCAAGCTAGGGCTGGGTCGAGGACAGACACGTCCCCACCTTTGCAGGATTTTGCAAAAGCGAGGGGGGAGGGCGCATCGCCGCGCGGAGAGGGCTGGGCACAGGGCACAGGGGATCTATCTCGCATAGGATACGCACTCGGCGGCACGAGGGCAAGGCTGGGCGTCCTATGTTTGTGCTCCCCCCCGGACCCCTCGCTCTCGGGCACTAACCATCTGACCACTCATCGACGGGGCTTGGCGAGCGGCCGCGCTGCGGGGCAGGGCTGGTGAGAATGGGCTCTGGCCACTCGCCCGTGCGGTTGTAACCCCGCATCTGTCGGACAGAGGCCTCGACCGCCCCTCGCGGCAAGCTCTCGAGCATCTCGAGCAGCTCGCCCGCCGCCATCGCCGCCTCGAACTGCTCCCTCATGCCGAGCGCGCCGCATACCCTGCGGACCGCCTCCTGCTGCACCTCGTCCGGCGTATCGGTTTCATAGCCGGACGAGTCAGCGGAGGCGGCCCGCTTGGCGGGCGGAGAGTCGGGCGACGGCGAGCGCGACTGGCGCGAGGGCCCGCTGCCGCGCGCGGACAGCGCGTTCTTGTCAACGAGACGGGGTCCAGCATCGGCACGGCCCCTGGCACCGCGGCCCTTGCCGCGCTGCTGCTGCCCACGCTTCCTGCCCGGGTTAGGGACAGTGAAGGAGCAGCCGCGCACTCCGCCGCCGCTGGGCGGCGGCGGCACGCGCGCGGCGGCGGCCGGGCCCGCAGGCGCGGCGGGCTGGCCACCCGCGGTGGCACCCTGCGGCTGCGATGCGGCTGCGGCGGCGTACGTCTTGGGCGCCGGCTCCGCGGCTGGCGGCGCGGCGGCAGGGGCGGGCGGCGCCGCAGGGCTCGCGCTCGCAGGCGGCTCCGTGGCCTGCGCCTGCCGCTCGTGGCGCACGGCGCGCTCGAGCTGCGAGTGCGGGTGCAGCTGTACGATGACGTCGCCGCTCTGCGTCGCGGTGAAGGAGACCGAGTACGGCGCTTCGCCGTCGTTCTTCTTCTCCGCGTAGACGAGCGCGTAGTCGCACACCTGTCGTTGGTGGTCAGTGAAGATGGTCTCTGTGCAGCGCTCGGCGGAGCCGACGCGAGAGAAGTGCCGCCTGAACGCCATGCGTTCAAACACAGACACTTGCTTAATCCTCGGTGCGAGCCGACTTTCTTTTCGTTTTCGCACTTGGCAACCACCACTCGCTCTCACAATGCTCTTCTGCGTGATGCCGGCCGCAGTCTCGCTCGTCTGCAAGACGCCCTCTCGTCCACTTCCGCGCCCGCTCGCCGCGGACGGCGACGGGGAGGCATCGTTCACGTATGACTCGGTGCAGCGGCGGCTGCCGCTCATCGTCGAGTCCGTCATCGACAAGAACAGCTACAGCGAGGCGCTCCAGGCGGACCTGCGCTCGCTCGCCGGCGAGATCGCCGCGGGCGAACCGCTCAAGCCGCTGGCCGCGCCTTCAGCAGAGTGGGAGGACGCGCTGGCGCCTCTCCTCGCCGCTGGCGACACTTGGCTGTCGGCACCGTGGTTTGTTGTGGAGAACTACCTGTACAAGCGGATGCTCGAGCTGACGGACGGACCCACCGGAGGCGCCGACCCGTTCGCGGCGCAAAAGGCGGAGTCGCTCGACGGCGCCGCCGCCGCCTTTGCTGACATGCTCTCCGCCGGACTCACCGAGGGCGAGGTGTCGCTGCCGTCACTCGTGAGCACCGCGCTGTGGGGCAACCTCGCCGACCTCTCCCTCTCCGCGGGCGCGGCGCTCATCGCGCCCACCGACGCGTCTGCGGGCGGCGGCGGCGCGGGCGACGCGTCCAAGCTGGCCGACGCGGGCGGCAAGATGCTCGCCGACGACACGGGCGAGCTGTGCGCGGCGCTCGAGGCGGCTGGCGGCGAGGAGGTTGTGGTGGTGCTGGACAACTGCGGGCTCGAGCTGGTGTCCGACCTGCTGCTCGTGGACGGGCTGCTGCGCTGCGCCTCGCCCCCGAGGCGCGTGACGCTGCACGCAAAGGCGAGAGGAGGCGGGCGAGGCTTGCTGCAGCGGTGCGGTGCTGCAGCAGCCGCGGGAGGGCGTCTGCGCGTAGGCGAGGCCCGTCTTCGTGAGCGACGTGGTCGAGGCGGACCTGGCTCCGACCCTGGCCTGGCTCGAGGAGCAGGGCGGCGGTCCGCTCGCCGGCCGGCTGCGCGACGCGCTCGCCGACGGCCGGCTGCTTGTCGAAAGCCCCGAGTTTTACACGGGCCCGAGATAGCCGAGAGATGGCCGAGAGATGGCCGAGAGATGGCCGAGAGATGGCCGAGAGATGGCCGAGAGATGGCCGAGAGATGGCCGAGAGATGGCCGAGAGATGGCCGAGAGATGGCCGAGAGATGGCCGAGAGATTGCCTCGAGTCGTACACCGGCCCGCCTCTTCTCTTCGAGGCAGAGAGGATGGCCGCGCGCGCCTCCCCACCTCTCCGCCCCTCCCCTCGCCCGCAGGCCCGCTCCCCTTCTGGGAGATGCCGGACGAGCTCCACGCGAGGCTCGCCGAGGCGGCGCTCGTCCTCACCAAGGGCGACGCCAACTTTCGGCGGCTGCTCGGCGACCTGCACTGGCCGCACGACACCGACTTTGCCGACCTGATGCGCGAGTACTGGCCAACCTCGCTCGCCGCGCTCCGCACCTGCAAGAGCGGCGTGCTGGTCGGCGTAGTGCCGGCGGTGGAGGCGGCGGCGGCCGCGGCGGAGCCGGAAAAGTGGCTGACCGGAGGCGTGTACGGGATGGTCTCCTTTGCGCCAAAGGCGACGCCGAGCTGACGAGTTACCGGCCACTTGCACGGCGTCGCGACAACGAGAGGGCGGCGCGATCAGGCCAGAGTGAGAGACCAGAGAGAGCGCGCGTGTGTCGTCTGTCGAGTCAGACATAAGACACTCTAGAGAGGGGCGGCCCAGGACGGAGTGCCAGGAGGTCCCATTTATGCTCACTTGCGGTGATGGTGTGTACGTAGCCCTGCCGTATAGAGTATGTGTTTAAGCGTGTCCGCACACACAATTTTCACGCCGCTCGGCGCAGTAATTCCCCCAGGCCAGTAAAGTACACACACGCGCGGTGACGGGCGGTGATCGGTGTGTCGCAGTACACACACTAATTCCCCCATAACGACTTCATGTGAGAAGTGCGGATACGGACACACGGACTGCTGTGCGCACCGCTGTGCGCGCGGCGGTGGGCCACCGGCGGTGCCGGGCATGCAAACGAGCACCCTCGAGTAGAGACTAGGAGCCGCGGCCGCCCCGCCGGCCCGCCTCAGCGCCGCGAGGCGTGGAGGTGGTGCTGGAAGAGGATGCACTTGCCGATCGGGTGGTCGAGTCGCCAGCCGTGCCCGGCGTCGTCCTCCGGCCGCAGGAACGAGTTTGCCTCGGCGCGGAGGGCGACGAAGTCGGTCGACGGGGAGACGGGCTCGCCCTCCCGGAAGCGCGCGCCGGTGAGCGGGTGGACGACCCCGGCGCCGCTCGCGAGGTTCCCGACCACCTTCATCACGTTGCGCAGGTTGGCGTCCGACACCTTTGGAGAGAGCCACTCCTCCATCTCGCACAGCCACTCGTCCGCCGCGCTGAGCGAGGCCAGCTGCGCCGCCGTCAGCGCCGGCGCCGCCTTGCCTCCACGCCCCTTTGCCGCCGCCGGCCTGCGCCGCGACTGCCGCCTCAGCCGGTCCGCCTCCGCCTCTGCGCGGTCGAGCGAGCGGTCGGCAGAGCGGGCGGCGGCGGGCGGCGGGCGGGTGGCGATCCGCGAGGAGGCGCGACGGTTCTCGAACGCCTCCTGCAGCCGCGCCGCCCGCTCGGCCGCCAGCTGCGCCGCCCGCTCTGCCCGAGCGGCCAGCTCCTCGGGACTAGGCGGAGGCCGCCGCGTGAGGGAGGGGCCGTCGAGCCCGAGCGCCGCAAGCGCCGCCTGGTTCTGGGCGATGTTGCGCTCGCGCTCGAGCTCGTACGCCGACTTGGACTCGCCGTCCGGCGCCGCGGCGGGCTCGACTTTCGGTGCGGGCTCGGGCGCGGGAGGAGACGCGTCCGACTGGCGGCGCCGCTTGCGGCCCGTCGCGGGCTCGGCCACCGCTTTGCGCGCCGGCTGCTCCTTCGCCGCTGAGCCGGGCGCTGGCTGCGTCTTCGCCGCTGACCCGGGCGCGTGCCACGAGAGCAGCCCGGCGGCCTCCTGCTCCGCGAGTCGCGTGGGAACCCTCTCTCCATCCTCGTAGAAGATGGTGTGCATCCGGGTCGCGGCGTCGAAAGACTCAACCTCGCCCTTGTGGTAGTGCTTCTGCTTGCCGCGTGGCTCGATCCACTTTACCCAAACGGGCTTCCCGACGTTCTCGTCGCGCTCGGTGGTGCTGGTGAAGCCGCGCTTCACCATATGTCTAGGTTTGTGTGGCAAATCAACACAGATGATGTGGTTTTCGCGCTTTTGGTTTTCGCGCTTTTGGTGCTTCCCGCCTTTTGGTTTCTTTCTTTTTTGAGAGACCTTTTAAGAATTCTTTTTTTGCATTCGATACAGCGTCCACCCATACCGCGTTGGTGTCCAGTCCGAGCCTGGCTGTTCTTCACCTTCCTACATACATACATTCGATACATGCTCACCTAACCTAATACATACAGAAACATCCTTCCCCCGTGCGCTTGCTACTTGCTCGCTGTGATTGTTTGAACACGCCAGCCTCCGTCCTGGTTGACGTGGCAGCTAGACTCTAGGAACTCGGTAGTTGTGACCCCCCTGAGTGAGGAGACAGGAGAGGGAGCTTTTGTGTGGTGTTGGTGTACGCAATAAGGGGACAGGGTGGTTGTTCTCTCTATCTCCCCTTCGAGCTCTTAGCATGAGCTGCGCCCTGTGTCCGACCCCTTTTGCGCAGCAACACCATATCCATAAACTTTAGGCCCTCCAAAATTCGGGTCGGAGCGTAGCGGAGAGGGCCCCGAGTTTGAAAAGGGCGACGGACGCTTGCGTCCTAGCCTCCAACAAGCGCAACAACGCCTCCCCGGCGCAGAGCGGGCCCCCGGAGCGGATGCACAACCGCTCCTCGCCACGCCGCGCCTCTTCCCAGCTTCCGCTGAGGGCCCATGCGTTATTTCTTTAATTAATCGTTGAGCAGCGACGGCATCGCTCCAGAGCGCCTCTTCGACCCACACGACGTACCTAAACTATATAAACCGCACACGACCGCGGTGAGACCAGTGCGTCTCCTCACACCGACAACACCCTCCCAGGCTCGCCGTCGCGCACCTGCCCGCACGCGGCAGCGCCACGCTCAGCTCTGCCGTCACGAGAAGCATCGGTGCCGACCAGACTGCGGGTGCGATGACCAGCGCGGCGAGGGAGAGGAAGGGACCTCCCAGAGGTACGATCTCCTCCACGCCAATGGTTGGGTAGTAGGGCTAGAGGGTCGCTCTACACTTACTTACCTTACATAGCCTCTGCAGCGCGAGCGAGCGCTCAACTTAGCCCCCGCACGGAGCCGGGCTCAGACTTAGACGCTGTATGGTCGGGGGCCATGAACTTAGACGACACAAGGCCAACTCCGGGTATCAGTAACCAGCCTCCGGCGGGGCCCCCCGCTACCATCCAAACCCGAGCACCGGTCTACTAATCATAGATAGAGGCTCAAGTGTGACATATAAAAGTCCACACACATACGACATACACATACACAAAGCAACTCTCACGACACACACACGGGCACCGGGTGGAGCGGCGGCGGCGGCGGCAGCAGCACGCGCGGGCGGACGGATTCGGACGGGGCGGAGCAGCGACCGCCTGGGCGGCCGCTGCTCTGCCAGAGCGCGCCGTCTGCGCAGCTCGAGCGCCGTCAGGTGCAGGGAAGCGTGGCGGCGCGGGGACGCGCGGCGGCGGTGGCGAGCAGGCGAGCGGCCCGCGCGCGGCGAGGCGGACAGGAGATCGGCAGGCGGGTGACGGCGGAGAGTAAACGCGCCCAGCGATCGGAGACGAGCCGATCGTCGCTCGGCCGCAGCTGACCTCGAAGGCGTGCGGAGCGCGACTGTTGGTGTCGGGGGGCGGCCGTCATGTGGCGAGGAGGGAGGACGACAAGTGCGCGTCGTAGCTACGGGTCGCTCTTCATCGGCCAGTCGAGCGGCACTCAAGTCGAGACCGAGCATGGGCGACGAAAAGCCGGTGGGGCCGGTGGGAGGTAGGACGAGATTCGTTTCGCGCTTTCAAAAGCGGCTTCGCGCGCAGCGCAACTTTGGGTTTGCCACGAAAAGCGTCCCCAGTGGAAATGGGGGCTACTGGGGCGGCCAATTCACACCTCGCGGGACTACTTATGTTTTCGTAAACGTAGTTGTGGCCCCCCGCTACGTCGCACGAGTGCAACCGGGTAGCGGGGGGCTAAAACCGGGTATACCTGAAAAGCTCGAGGTTTACCCGAAAAATACCTGGACCGTCCCGACAACGTATGCCGCGCACGACGCACGACGCCATATCGCCAGGGCCAGTGCGCTACTTGCGGCGCGCAACGCCTGCTCAAGTACGCGCACCGTACCATGTGCTGCCGCTATGCGTGCCTTAAGGCGGCTGCGGCGAAGCGGCGGGCGCGGCATGCCGATGGCAGCGCGGACGATGCGGTTGCGATGTGTTCTGCTTCAAGATCGTGGCGGTGCTTGGCATGCACTTCTGCGATCCCAATCAGCTCATCGCAACGAAGCAGCGCAACAAGCTGGCTGCTGCCAACAAGGCCCTATGCTACCTCACGCGCGGATCGTTCAAAGAGGACCAGCATACACAGAGGCTTCTCTGACACGCGTCTGTTTAGCGTTGAGGCTATTTGTGAGAACTGTTTGGCTAGAAGTCGCCGAACATTGCGCTCAGGAGGCAGGCAGGCAGCAACGAGAACCGGAAGAGGAGGATGCTGAGGCGGCGATTGCTGAGCATGAGGAGGATCGATCGCCCGCCGCAGGCGAAGAAAATTTGGGGGCTGTGCCGATGTTGATCACGGGCGTTGATCACGGTGGGAGCCTCTTGGCCCCAGGCCGTGCCACGGCCGACTTAGCCGATGTAAGAGGCTCTCGCTGATCTTAGACCGCGTAAGCACCCCAGCGTGACTAGTCACACTTAGACCCGCAAGGCCTCGAGGCTCAGAACTTAGACTACTACCCAACTAGTAGCAGATAGTAGCTGGACACCTGTAGGCGCGGACCGTGGGAGAAGAGTGCAGCCATCGCAAGCAAGTGTGCCCCGAGTGTGGACTCGGAGGTGTGTGTGCGTGTAAAACACAACGGGCGGGGGCACGCAGCACGGTGTGAGGGTCGGTAAATACATCAGGCGGGGCACGCACAGGAGCACGCGTGCCGACGCCGAACGACGACGCGACGACGACGCGAGCGACGTGGCGCCGCCGTATTCTTTCGAGCTGGTACCTAGGTACCTGTGAGTGCCAGTGCGCGCCAGTCCCGTGCCCAGTGTCGTGCGAGGGAGTTTTGTTGGAAAATTCTTTCGAGCTAGGAAATTTTAACCGCCACCAAGAGGAGAGGGTGTGGGTGCGGGGTGGGAACCAAAAGAGATGGCCCAGCCGGAGCGCGGAGGGCTGGCGCCGTCAGAGAGGATGGATGGAGCGGCCACAGAGGTGGCGCGGCATCAGGTCCCATGAGCAGGGAAGGAGCGCAGCGAGAGCGCCGCGCATGAGGAGCAAGTTTCGCGTTTGGGTCCCTTGTAGTCACACACACACACATGCGCACCCCGCACCCCGCGCCCGCGCGCACGCCCACCGCCCCGCCTAGGTGGGAAAGAGACGAGGAGATGGAGCAGCCCGACAAGCAAGGAGAAGCCTTTAAGTAGGTGCGCCACGCTGCGTTTCTCACTTTCCGGGACAGGTCCGCCCTTGCGAGGCAGGAAAGTGACGGCTACCCCGTACGCCCTGACATCTATCTTGTATGTATCTACTTATTACCCCTTCGCCGACCGCCCATCCCCCATTCCCCTCTCCAACCTCGACGAGCACACTCCCGTATCTAGATACAGCCTGAACCCAACACACAAAAAACCGACATGTCAGGTGTATTTATTTTTTGCTTGGGCGGGCATCATGCTGAAATTCTGCAAAAACCCGGCCGGCCTCTCCCCTGCCCCTACCTACCTACCTACCTACCTACCTACCTTACTTATGGGAAACTAAAAAAAGAAATCACTCGATAGGTGAAGGTGGGGTACTATACCAACTAGAGTGATGGTTGGTGGTACTCTCCTGCAACCACAGTCCTTCTTGTGACATGGCAGGCAGGCCACTCTCAAGCAGCCCTACCTACAAGCATCAGATCACCCATTTGGGGAGGGTTGACATCGTGATTTCCGCGGGATTTTTTTTTGAAAATTCCAGCTTGAAGAGAGGGAAAAACCCGACGGGAGGGCCCAGACCTACCCTACCTACCCGGCATGATGCCCGAAAGCAAAAAATAAATACATCGGCACTGTGTGTATGTCGGCTCCCAGCATGGAGCCTCACTCGCCACGCCGCCGACGCGCCGGCGAGAGCAGCAGCGGCGGCGGCGGCAGCAGCGCGTCTCACGCCCCGCGCTCGGGCGCCGACCAGCGCCACGACGGCGGCCGCGGCGGTGACACGGCTCGCGGCGGCGGCGGCGGCGGTGGCAGCAGCAGCAGCAGCACCGGAGCCAGTCCCAGCGCATGCAGAGGTCTCCGCCAGGTCGGCAGCTACACGCTCCTCGAGGTGATTGGGCAGGGCACCTTTGGCGAGGTGCTGCTCGGGGTGGAGCGCTGCACGCGCGAGCCGGTCGCCGTCAAGGCTCTTGAGCGGTGCAAGATCTGCGATGAGGACTCGCGCGAGCGGCTGGCGAACGAGATCTCCATCTTGCACCGCGTGCACCACGCGAACCTGCTCCAGCTGCTCGAGGTGGTCGAGGAGGTCGACGCCATCTACCTCGTCACGGAGCACGTCGGCGGCGGCGAGCTCTTCGCGCACATCGTCAAGAAGGGGCGGCTCGGCGAGGCGGAGGCGGCGCGGCTCTTCGGGCAGATGGTTGCTGCGGTGGAGTCGTGCCACCGCAACCTCGTCATCCACCGCGACCTCAAGCCGGAGAACGTCCTCCTCGACGCCCGCGGCGACATCAAGGTGATCGACTTTGGGCTCGGCACCATCCTCTCCTCCCCCGAGGAGGTGCTCGACGTCGCTTGCGGCTCTCCGCACTACGCCGCGCCAGAGATGCTCCTCGGCGGCGGCTACCTCGGCCAGCGAGTCGACCTCTGGTCGCTCGGCGTCTGCCTCTACGCGATGCTCTGCGGCTGCCTCCCCTTCGACGAGCCAGACATGGACGCGCTCTACGACCGCATCATCGGAGTCGACTTCGACTTTGCGCCCGCGCCAGGCCTCTCCGCGGCAGCAAAGGACCTGCTCTGCGGCCTGCTGCACATGCCTCCCGACGAGAGGATCACCGTGCGAGGCGTCCTCTCGCACAAGTGGCTGCGCGCCTCCTCTCCGTCGGTGCCCCCAACCCTCGGCTTGTGCGGCGCGCCGCTCGACCCGAACTGCCGCTCCCTCCTCCGCCGCATCGAGGCGGAGCACGGCCTCCCCCGCCACGAGGTCCTCACCGCCCTCCGGCGAGGGGAGAGGTCTGCCGCCACCGCAGTCTACTGGCTCCTCCGCCAGCAAGAGGTCTCCCGCGGCTCCATGGTCCCGCACCAGGCACTCCTCCCCCGCCCGCCGCCGCACCGGCCGCCCCACCACCGCCGCCGGCCCGTCCCGCCACACCTCCTCCGGGCGGCGGCCCGCGCCCAGGCCGCCGTCCAGCCGCTGCCGCCGCTGCCCCCCTTGGCGCTCGGGGGCGGGGGGGGTGGCGGAGGGGGTGGCCGAGGGGCGGGGCACTTGTTGCTCGGAGGACCGGCGGCGAAGCCAGCTCCTCTGTCTGCGCGGGGAGGCGGCGCCGAGGGCGCGCGGCAGGCGAGGCCGGTGGCGCGGCCGGAGGAGGTTGCGAGGAGGGCGAGGGAGGAGAGGGGGGCCATCGTGCACGCCTCGGGCGCGCTGACGGACCGCTCAGAGAGGCGGGGCGGGGGACGGCGCGCACAGCTCGTCTGCGGGGCGGCGGGCGCAGCGGGCGCCTCCGGCGGCGGCGGCGCCTGCACCTCGCTGCGTGCGGCGCCCGTCCTCTCCCCGCGGACGGGACACGTGCCGCGAGGCGTGGCCGCGGGGCTCCTGCACGCGGAGCAGCCTGTCCGGGCCGCGCCGCTGCAAGTTGGGAGGGCTTCTTGGTGACCTGGGCGGCCGTGAAGCGCACGCCTCGTGGAATGTGACATGCCGTGTATATTGTGGGCCGCCGCGCGCCGCTGCCGCGCGGAGTTTGCGGGGCCCGAGTATCCCGCGTTTGGTCTCGTCTAGCTTGATCTTCAGTCTTCAGACGTCTCGGTTGCATGCATGTGAGATCTTGTGTGCATGTCCATTGTGTGTGTGTCGCGGGCCGGGGGTCCAACATCGCAATCCATGTGTCGTCGTGTGTGTGTTACCGCCGAATGAATGAGTGTACACATGCAGATAATTAATGTCATCCAAACTACAGTGACAGTGATCAGTGTGACATGTATGTCCTCACTCCTCTGAGCTCTCTCTCCGCTCTCGGGGTTCGCACGCGATACAGAGCGGAAATGACGCATTCAGCTTTCAGGGGCAAGCGCCTGCCACGGCACGACCAGAGAGAGCTGTCGACACTATGAAAGACCGCTTAGTACGATCATCACGGCCACGAGTGTTCCACCCGCCGCCACCGCCCCACCAACGACCACGCCGATAAGAAGCTGCGCTGTTGACACCTGCCTTCGTTGCCAAACCTGCTGCAACCTCTGAACGAAGGTAAGGCTTTGGCTGGTTGCATCACCTCGGAGGTGGTTGCGCTTCCCACTGGGCGTCTCTGTCTCGACAAACACTTTGATTTTGTTGGCGTCCTTCACCACGCGCAGCATTGGACGTCCCGCGTTGCAAGATCCACGTGGCTTCTGTGCGCCCCGTTGTCACGCTACTCAAGCGAATTGACACAAAAAGGGCACCGGGACCGGGCGGGTCGCGCCTTAAAAGCGGGCTCCTCTGCTTCGTATAACCGCAGCCGCTCCTCGCTGCTCGGCGGGTGGGCGGGTACCAGGCTAGTCTCCCCCCCAATCCCCAGGGCCTCCAGGGCTCGCACCTCAACCTCTCATAGACCAGCGCAAAGCGCCATAGGACGTATCTTCTTGTCAATAACAATGCCTGCGAAGAAGTCTCCTTTCGTTTGGGGGCCTCCATCCAGCCAGGGCTCATAGATAGACTAACATAGACCAGCGCGCAGCGCCCATAGGAGGTATTTCCTTCTCAATGACAAGGTCTGTGAACAGAGATCAGAGTCGTCAGCTGGAAGCAATTCGAGATCCTCGATCGGCCCGGAAAAGAAAGAATGTTCAGTGCTTCGCTAGACGCTAGACTGGTCACTGGAGCGCACTGGCCACCCGCCACCCGCCACCCGCCCCCCGCCCCCCGGCCTGATTGTCGTTGTCGAATTTTTATACTTATATCCATATTTATTTTTGCATTTAGCGCTCTCAACAATGTGCCCGCGTGCCCAGACGAGTGAAAACCGAATTCCTATAGCTCGGCGGCCAAGCCGTGGCGTTATTTATATTGTCGTCCATTGTTGTCGTCGTGCGAGACGCGGGAGCGCTTTGTCGGATAAAATTCTTTTCTCTATCTCTGCACAAATGCGCGAAAAACGGCTGTCTCGACTCTTGTTCACGAGTGTGTAGTACACAGTTACGGCTGACGCCCGGGCGCCCGCACACGCGGAGGGGCTACCTCCCCATCGCGAGCAGCTCGCGCACCCCCTCGAGGAGCATTCTCTCCTGCGCGGCCGTGTCGGAGCGCGGCGCCTCCCACTTCCGTGAAAGGAGATCGTCCAGCATCCGCCGCACGGCGAGGATGAGCTCCGCCGCCTCTGGCGCGAGGCGGAAGCGGACCCACCCGTCGTCGATGCCAACCATGCCCGCCTTTGCGTCGTGCCGCAGCCGGCCGCCGAAGAGCAGCAGCGAGAGCGGCGGCACCGGCGTCGCCTCGCGCAGCATCACGGCGCCGGAGCCCGACTTGTGCGCCTCGCCGTAGACGCAATAGCTCGCCTTGAGGGCGGCGGCCTGCCGCGCGAGCACGCACGACGGGTGGAGCGAGGCGGAGCCGACGCCTGTGTCGTCCTTGATCTTGAGCTTGACCGGCGGAGGAGGAGCGTCCGCGTCGGCGCCGCGCCGCGCAGGCTTGCCGCCTGAGGGCAGCTCGACCTTCGCGCAGCGCGGCCACATCGCCCCGACGAGCAGCGCCTTGAGCAGCTCCGCGTCCTCGTGCGCCGCCGCGGCCTGCCGCCCGCCGCCGCCACGCGCCATCCCGATCTCGCGCAGCGCGGCGTGCAGCTCGTCCTTGGTGGCGCCGATCGCGTCGAGGGTGCGGGAGGAGAGGAAGTGCTGCTGGCAGAAGGCGGCGCGCTCCTTGGTCGACCGGATGGCCCGCCACGACTCGTACGCGTTGAGGAGAGTCAGGTGGTCCGACCCGCCCACCGCGAGCTGCAGCTTGGCGAGGTCGACCTCCGCGCGCACGCCGGGCGACCCGAACGGCGCGGCGAAGGGCGACTTGCAGGTGAGCGCGGCCGCGATCGTGGTGGCGGGGTCGGCGGCGCCGAGCATCGCACCGAGCAAGCAGAGCTTCCCGATGCGCACATCGAGCGGCAGCGCGGCGAGGTGGCAGCCGAGCGGCGTGAGCGCCTCCGACGTCGCCGCCTGGCCGGCAGCGCGGTCGACGGCGGGATCGAGAGCGCCGAGGGAGACGAGCGTCGCGGTGGCGGAGCGGACCGCGCCGAGCGCCGGCGGCTGGGGCAGCGCGGCGAGCGTGTCGGCGATGAGCGCCTCGGGGAAGAGGCGCTTGGCGCGCAGCGCCGCCCGCTCGAGCGGCACGCGAAGGAGCTCGGGCGTCTGGAGACGGGGGTGTGGTGAGAGGTGTGGTGAGGGGTGGGGTGAGGGGTGGGGTGAGGGGTGGGGTGAGGGGTGGGGTGAGGGGTGGGGTCAGGTTTGGGGATCTGGCTAGGCACGCGGAGGAGAGCTCTGGCGTGCGGCGGCAGCTAGGCCCGGGGCCGGAGCGAAGACGGGTGGGGGTGGTGAGGGGAAGACGGGTGGGGGTGGTGAGGGGGGAAGGACGAGCTGGGAAGGACGAGCTCGAGTGCGAGTACCGACCGGTCCAGTGGGAGCGCGCCTGCTGCGGCGGAAGAGCGGCGTAGCGGTGCGAGGAAACGAGGTGGATAGCGACGCCAGCGCGGACCCGCCCCGCGCGGCCGCGGCGCTGCGTCAGCGAGCCGCGAGGCGCGTAGTCCTCCTCGAGCCGCGTCAGCTTGCGGCGCGGGTCATACCGGTTCTCCTTGAAGCGCCCCGTGTCGATGACTGCGGTCACGTCGTCGACGGTGATGGACGTCTCCGCGATGTTTGTGGCGAGGACCACCTTGGTCAGCCCCTCGGGCGGCCGCGCGAAGCACTTGAGCTGCGCATCCGCCGAGAGACTGGAGTGGAGCGGCACCAACAGCAGCGGCAAGCCAGAAGCGCGCAATGCGTCCGCCAGCGTCTCAATTTCGCGCATCCCCGGCAAAAAGATTAGCAGCGCGCCCCCGACGACGTCGCTGTCTCCGCCGCCGCCGCCGCCGCCGCCCGCTAGCGCGCCCCCTCCCGCCTTCGCGCCTCGCCTCTTCTGGCCACGAGGCGCCGCTCGCTCCCACTCGCGCAAGTATTCTGCGCCGTAAAACTCCTCAAAGTCGGCGCGCGTGTATGAGACGCCGTCTGTGTCGACTCGCCTCTCCTCCTCCTCCGGCACCTCCGCGCGGGCCGGCGCAGGCAGCGGGACGAGCGCGTCGGCGCGGCCCGGGTGGCGCCCGCGCGCGGCGGCGCACTCCGAGATCGCGTCGGCGCGCGTGGCGAGCATCGCGACGAGGTCGACGATGAGGTCGTAGTCGATAGCACTCGGCTCGAGCGCGCCAAGCGCCGCGAGCGCCTCGCGGGAGAGAGTCGGGTACCTATTCGATCGGAGGGGCTTGCCGTCGGTGTAGCAACCTCTTGCCGCCTCGCGGGAGAGGGTCGGGCACCTGGCGCGGAGCGCCGGCGGCGAGAGGTGCTCGTCCTCCAACTCCTCCTCCGCCACGCCGGCGTCGCCGGCGTCCGCGTCCGTGTCAGAGTCGGCGTCGCCCCTGCCGCCTCCCTTGCCGCCTCCCTTGCCGCCTCCCTTGCCGCCCTTGCCGCCGCCCTTGCCGCCGCCCTTGCCGCCCCTCTTCGCCCACTCCGCGGTCGGCTCCACCTCGTGCCCGGTGAGCTCGAGGGCGTGCTCGAGGAACAGGGCAGTCACCTACGGGACATGTCCAGGACATGTCCAGGACATGTCCAGGTCAGAGTACGGCGTGCTCGAGGAAGAGGGCTATCACAGGAAAGGTGCGGCCCGGCACGCTCAAGACCGGCGCGCCGCCAAAGTAGTCTGCGAAGAGCTCCGCGGCGCCGCCGTCGAGCGAGGCGGACATGAGCAGCAGCTTGAGGTCGGGCCTCCGCGGCAGCAGGTTCCGCAGCACCATCAGCGCGAAGTCGCCGTCCTCGGACCGCTCGTGCGCCTCGTCGACAATCACGTGCGAGACGCCGCGCAGCAGCGGCTCGTCGATCAGCCGCCGGAGCAGCACGCCCGTCGTGACGAAGCTGATCCGCGTGCGTGGTCCCGCCTTTGCCTCTTGCCGTATCCTGTAGCCAACCACCTCGCCGACGGCCTCGCACCGCTCCGCAGCGACGCGCGCCGCGAGCGAGACGGCGGCGACGCGGCGAGGCTGCAGCACGAGCAGCGAGCAGGCGGCGCCGCTCCCCGCCGCCACGGCCTCCTCGAGCAGGAACTGGGGCACCTGCGTCGACTTGCCGCAGCCCGTCTCGCCGCAGACGAGGACCGTCTGGTGGGAGGAAACCGCCTCGAGCACGCGAGAGCGCCACTGCCACATCGGCAGCGACCGGCGAGACTCGCGCATCTTGGCCGCCTCGCCGCCTCCGCTCTCAAGCTGCGACTGCTGCCGCAGCAGCGCTTCACTCTCCTCGCGCTCGCGCTGCGACGGCACGCGGTTCGCCGCCTTGCCAGGAGGGCCCTTGCCGCGAGGCTGCGCCTCTCGCTCCAGGCCCTGCGGCGGAGGCTTGCGAGGCTCCGGCGGCTGCTGCGGCGGCGCCGCCAGGCCAGCCTCCGCCGCGTCGGCATCCCACTCGCGGCGCGTGTAGCCGAGGAGGGCGGCGGCGTCGCGCTGGGCAGGAGAGAGGTTGGCCCACGTCGCTCGCACCTCCCCAGAGTCCCAAGACGCGCTGTCCGTGTACCCGAGCGCCTCGGCCGCCCTCCGCTCCTCCGCGCTGAAATCTCCCCAAGCCTTGTCCTTGCCGCTGGCGGCGGCGGCCGCGGCCGTCTCGCGCAGCAGCGCGTGGATCGGATCTCCGGAGGGCACGGCGCCCACGATCGCCGAGCGGGACGTGCCACTCTCGGCCTGCTCGCTGCCGCCGCCCGCAGACATCGCCTCTCGCAGCCGCGCAGCGACGGCGTCGCCCACGCCGACCCGCTCGACATCTGGGCCGGCGTTCCCGCCCTCGATCCGATATCCGTTCCTCCACGGCCCGTGGTTGAGCGGGCGGCCGAGCTTGTCAAACCGCTGAGGCTCTCGCTTGGCCTTCATCTGCGCATCGTGACCGCCGGAGCGGCCGTGGCCCGTCTTGCCGCTCTTGACGCCCTTGTTTTGGCCCTCCTGCCAGCCGCCGCCGCCGTGACGGCGGCCGCCGCCGCCGTTGCAGCGGCCCATGAATTGGCACGCAGCCACGCACGGGGGAGGGAGCACCAGCTATGAGCGCGAGGAACGTAGCACGGCGAGGCGCGGCTACTCTAAAAGAAATCGAAAGAATCCGCGGGTCCCAGGGAGGCCAACTCCTTGAGGTCTCTTCGCGGATCGAATTCTCTTCCCAGGCAGGACGACGCCCCAGCAGTCAGTGGCCCAAAACTGGCGCGTGTCCGCCCCCCGTATCCACGCCACCGTGCCCAGCTCGCGCTGCGGGTCCCTGGTGGCCGCAAACGTTTGTAGGACCACAAATGACCGACACGCCGGAACGCCAGCCGCGCGACGCTGCCGGGGGCTCCCCCGCCGCCGACAGCGCCTCTAAAGAGGGGTGCTTCACCTTTGGTTCCGAGCCAGACTCCACTCGCAGCCTGCGGAACGGCCGACGCGACATATATTCGGCCTCGGCGCGGAAGATGGCGGTGCTGTCGAATCCAAAGACGCTCAGCGACGAGCTCCGCGCAGACCCCGAGTCTGCCGCGGTGTGGGACACCGTGGGTCGCGTCTGGAAGGCGCGCACGCCCACAGACGTGCGAGTGGAGGGCTTTTCGGGCTGGCGCGTCATTCTCTCGGCCCGGGCAAAAGTTGACCACAATGGCAGCAGGCACCTCGACCTGTACATACACCCTCCGGAGCTGAGCGACCGCGCGAGTGAGCCGTCGGGGGCACGCGGAGGAGGGCGCCAAGGACAGGGCAAGCACAGCAACAAGGCGATCCGCGCGCTCGGCGCGCTGCACCGCGCTCTCGAGCTGCGGCTGGAGCACCGGAACCGCGGCTCGAGCTACGTCGACCCGCAGGAGCAGGAGTACATCCAGGTGGCGTCGCCGGAGGGCGCAGAGGCGGGCTGGCAAATGGCGGAGGTGGTGGCGGTGCAGCCCTTCGACGGCCGCTTCTGCGTCGAGGTGCTGATCGAGGGCAAGCCGCGGCTGCACCTGACCGCGGCGGGCGAGGGGAGCGAGTGGCGCCGGCTGGGGGAAGAGTACGAGGGGCCGCGGCGGAGGCCGCGGTGGAGCGAGGAGGGGCACGCCCACCTGACGAGGCGCGTGCTGCGCCGCTTCCACGGGCGCGCCTTCCTCGGCACCGTGGTCAGGTGGCTGCCGCCCGGCCTGCTCCCTGCGGGCGAAGCGGCGAGGCGCTCCTCGGACAGGGTGGCGGCGAGTGGCGCGGCGGCGGCGGCGCGGCTGAGCGTGGACGAGGGGGCGGCTCTCTTCCGGGTGTTGCACGACGACGGCGACGTGGAGGAGCTCGAGGAGTTCGAGGTGGAGGCGGCGCTGGAGGCGTTCGAGCAGAGGGCGGAGGGGGAGGGCGAGGAGGAGGAGGAGGAGGAGGAGGAGGAGGAGGAGGAAGGGGGCCGCGGCGAGGGGGAGGGGGAGGGGGAGGGGGGAGGGAGGGTGGCGGGCGAGGACGATGGGGAGGAGGGCGGCGAGGAGGGGGAGGAGGGCGATGGCGGCTCGCGGAAGCGTCCCCGCCCGTGGGGCGAGGAGGAGGACGCGGAGGTGGTGCGGCACGCGACGACCAAGGCGAGGGCGGTGGCGTGGAGCTCGCTCGCCGAGTCGCTCGGCCGCACCAAGCTCGGCTGCCAGGCGCGGTGGCGCACCACTTCATTATTATTATTACTATTTTATTATTACGATTATTATTACTACTATGATTATCGGCTGCCAGGCGCGGTGGCGCACCCTTCATTACTATTATTACTATTACTATTATTACTATTATTATTACTATATTCTCGGCTGCCAGGCGCGGTGGCGCACCCTTCGCCTCGCGCGCGGGGACGGCGACCTCGCGCTTGGCGAGGCGAGGCTGAGGCAGAGGCAGGCCAGGGCGGCGCAGCAGGCGAGGCGCAACGCGACGGCGCCGCCCCCTGCACCGGCGGCGGTTGTGGCGGCGCCGCCGCCGGCTGTGGCGGCGCCGCCGCTGCCGCCGCCTACCGCGGGGAGGGGCATGGCGGCGGTGCTGGCCCTGCTGAGGCGCTTCGGGATCGAGCAGTACGCTGGCGCGTTCGAGGCGACGGGGAACGACGACGTGAGCCTGCTGTACTCGCTGTCCGACGCGGAGCTGAAGCAGGTTGCCGAGGAGGTGCAGATGAAGCCCGGCCACCTCAGCAGGTGGTGCGGCTGGATGGCCGAGCTCCGCGCGAAGCGAGCCCCGGCGCAGAGACTCCTGACGTGAAGACAGGCGTCCGGGAAGCTAGACTTAACATGGCAATAAATAAATAAATAAAACGGGCACGCCAAACGAGGGGTGGGAGAAGGACAGGGGTCCCCACCTGCGCGAGCAGGATCTTGTAAGGACGATCAGGGACACAGGGGAACGGGAGCGGGGACCGCATCGCGGCTTAGTTTTCTTCTTTCGCGACTTGGCCTTGGTCGTCGCTGCTCGTGTTTGACTGTCGGCGACGGCTTCTAGGATCCTGACGCGTCGTGCGTTTTGCATGGCAGCCAATCCAGCGAGAGTGCACGAGATCGACCAGGCCTTATGTCGAGCCGAACAGGTCTTATGTCGAGCCGAACAACATTTTGTGAACAGCAAGGCGTTCGACGCCAAGGCGCTGTCCCACATTGTGGCCAACCTGCAATCACGCTGCCTCATGACACCAGAACTGGCGAGGTGGTTTCTCGCCGCGCCACAGGCGACACAGTTCGCATGGCCAGAATCGGTCATGCATTCTTTGGGCACACCGCCGCTGGAGCTGGAAGCTGACGAGGCTCTCGCCTTCTATTCCTCGCTGTGTTCGCCTTCGCCAGCAAAGCGTAAGGCCCGACCTTTGAGGGAGAACGCCTGGCCAGCGCCAAACGAGCCGACACGCCAGGATTTCATCACGGCGACTAAGCGAGAGCTCGCCACTACGGCAAGAGAGGAGGATGTCTGGCAAAAGGCGGTAGACCTGCGGCTGAGCAAGGATGACTTGATCGAAGAGATGGAGCGAGAGCTAGCCGTCATGGCGGAGAGCCCCGTCGTCGCGTGACACACGCGTAAGAAGACGTGTGATGTGGCGCAGAATCTTCTAGTAAGAGACTCGCTCTAGAGTGTGTAGAGACAAGAGAGCGACGACGACACGACACCGGACCGGGATGACACGACAGTCGACACTTGTGTCTTGTGTGTGTGCGGTGGGACGTTGGGACTTGTGCGGCGTGGGGTCGCGTCGTCCTCTCGAAAATAACAAGAGCTCTCGCCGATAAAGCGATTTCCTTTCCGGTACGCGACGCGATGGCGGATGGGCATGGGGAGCGAGTCCGGGGCCCCGTGCGGCCGCAAGAGCTCCAGCTCGAAAGAGCTCAGGGCGGCGGGATGCCGCCGTCGGGCTCGCCGGCCGCCACCACGCCCACGGGTGCGATGCACGGCGCCACCCACTCGCCGTAGCCCTGCGCCCCCTCGACCAGCCTCCACTCCCACGCGGGCCGCAGCTGGCCGCACACCACGCTCTGCGGCGCACCCACCAGCGCAGCCGCGCCGCGCAACCGCACCCTTGCCCGCGCCGGCGGCTCGGCCCGCTCGCCCTGCCCCTCCCTGTCGCCCTGCAGGGCAAGCTCCTCGAGCAGCGTCGCCTCCCACCATGCGTCCTCCCACCACAGCTGCACCCCCTCGCCTACAGGCCAAGGCATACCGGCCCGTCACGCACGCCGCAGCCGACCCGCCCGCCGCGGCAGCTCGCCCCTCGCCCGCGCGTGTGGCGTGCAAAAAGTCGGACGGCGCACGAGGAGGCGCGGGCCGGAGGCGGTGCCACGCGACCCACTCCTGCAGCCGCTGCGCGGCGCCGTCGCGCTCTGCGAAGGCGAGGAACTCGACGAGCGCCGCGTGCGGCTGGAGCTCGAGCAGCTCGACCTAAGGTCGGCGGCGAGCCGCGTGTGCAGCAGCCGCGTGTGCGCGGGGCCGTGCTGCTGCGGCTCGACCTCCCACCACGCTCCCCGCGCCGCCGGCTGGGCGAGGCTCGCCTCGGCCGTCCTGCCCACGCTCGCCCACGGGTGGACCTCGAGGGGCGGGCCGAGGGGCGGCGCGGCGGAGGCGGCGAGCAGCTCGGCCCCTCCGGAGGGGCTGGGCGCTGTTCCCCTGCCTGCTCCCCTGCCTGCTCCCCTGCCGGCCTCGGCGAGTGGGCGCAGGGCGCGCAGCGGCGGGGGAGGGACCACCCGCCACGACCCCTCCCTCTGCATCTCCCAGTCGGGACGCACGCGCCTGCGGGGAGGCGGGGGAGGGGGGGGAGGGGGGTGGAGGGGGGGGAGGGGGGTGGAGGGCTGGCTCAAGGGCGAGGGCAGCGTGTGCAACGCGGGCCGACGGCGCGGCTGCGCGCCTCTCGTGCACGCGCAAGGCCGTGTCGGCGTTGCGGGCGAGCAAGAAGAGTGTCACCTCCCTGCTCCCCTCCCTGCTCCCCACCCTGCACCCTTCCTCCGCGGCTTCCCCCTCGGCGAGAGCTGCTCCGCCGCCCTCCCCCCCGGGCCCAGAGCCGGTGGCCGGCGGTGGGCCGAGGAGCAGCTTGTCGTCTGCGATCGCCGCCTATCCCATGAGGAGGAGCGGCTCCTTCCACGGCTCACTGCTGATGGCCGAGGAGGAGTCGGCCGTCTGCGATGGCCGCCTGCCACCAGCCGCCGTCCTGCAGCACCTGGACGGTGCCGCCGCCCGCCGCGGCCGCCAGGAAGTTGGTGGGCGCGCGCGGCGGCCGCGGCCTCGTGAAGCCCGCCGCGACCCACTCGGTGGCGCGGCTGCGGCCTTGCGGCGGCCAGCGCCACTCGCTCCCCTCCTCGTCGGGTCCGTACTCCTCGACGAAGTCCTCGTCGCCGTCGACGCAGACGCGGAAGCGGCCCTCGCCCAGCAGCTCGCGCACCTCCGCCGCCCGCCACCGCGTCGCCCCCCCCTCCTCCACCTCTACGTCCACAACCTCCCCGACCGCCGCAGCCCTCCCCTCGCCGCCCGACCTCGCCCTCTCGCCGCCGCCTCGCGGCCTCGCGCCGTCGGGCCACCGCCAGGTCTTGCCCTCGTCCCGCAGCCGCAGCTCCTCCTCCTTCGCCTCCTCGGCCGCCACCGCCACGAACCGAGCCCCGCCGAGCAGCCTCCGCACCTCGGCCACCCTCCAGCCCTCGCCGGCGCACCAGCCCGCCAGCTCGACGCGCGAGGCGAGGAGCGGCATCTGCCGCGCGCTGTACTGCGGCGGGGGCGCGCCCGCCGGCAGCAGCAGCTGCGTGTCTGCCGGGAGCCGCGTCGCCGGCCCGAGCGGCCCGAGCTCGGCGTCGAGCACGCCGTTGGCCGCGACCAGGCTGTCACACTCGAGGCCGAGCGCGGCGGCGGCGGCGCGCGGCGTCTCGTTCTCCGCGACGGCGTGGACGAGCGGCAGCGCGAGGATGGTGCGCCGCCGCAGGCGCGACGTGCTCACCAGTCCCTCGAGCCGCGAGGCGTTGAGCGCCAGGACGGCGGCCACCGGGACGCCAAAGCGGCGAGAGACCTCCTTCGGCGTGTCGTCCTCTTCGCAAAAGTAGTGCGCGGCCTCGAGCAGCGCACGCGGCGGCTCCGGCTCGGGGAGCTCGAACTCGACGTGCACCTGCCGCGAGCGCACGCCGATGGCGCGCGCGGGCACCCAGCAGCCCTCGGCGTAGATGGCCTCGAGCAGGTCGCCGACCACCGGCATGGCGGCCACCGCCGCGCGAGGCGCGGGCTTGCTCTGCTGCTGCTGCTTGGGGGGCGTGCCGCCGGCCTCCGGACGTGCGCGCTTCTCCTGGGGCATGCCGCAAGACTGGCGGCGCCAAAAGCCAAAAGAAATTACCGAGTCATCCGGCCCGCTGGGTGCGCTTCTTAGCTCCCCGGCCCTGGATGTGCGGTTAATGACTGCACTCCAAGTGCTCCAAGTACTTAAACATAAATCTCTTCGAGATGAGACCGCCAGTGGAGTTGGAGTCCACCGTGCACCGCGCTGCGAGCCTGTCGTGTCCCTTGTCAGGAGCAGGAGAGCCCCACGTGTGCCCCTGATCGTCCTTCCAAAATCCTGCTCGTGCAGGTGTGGACCCTGTCCTCCTCCCCTATCCCTCGTTTGGGTTGTCTCTTTTCTTTCTTTCTTTCTTTTAGCACCGCGAGGTGGCATGAAGGTTGCAGCGAGAATCGGCGAGGGACTGCGAAGTTTTATTTCTTTCTTCGGCGTACCTGCGGCGCTTATGGGGGTCGTCCCCCCCCGTGCGAGCCGCCACGGTGTCGTGGCGCGCCGCGGGGTCGGGCCCTGGATCAAGGTTCAGAGCGCGAACACTGGGGGGTCCCTCTCGCATGGGGGGCTGAAGATACGTGCCACTCCTTCCGGGAGACCGGCCCTTGGATCCTCCTCACCGTTACTAGTGCTGGCTGCCCATTTGTGCAGCTAGGTGTCCCACTAACCACCGCGGATGTCCTGCCGTGCAAAGCTCGCGGATTAGGTAAGTAGTTAGCGTCGGCTGATGGGTGCTTGTCGCGCGTGCGCGTATGTGCCCCGGGGGGGGGCGCGGGTGGTGTGTCGCCCCCCTCCTCTTGCGTTAATGAAATTGGACAACCTCTCGGCTGACTTTGCGGTTCTCGGTCCTCGAGAGGGTCAACCAGCTTCGAGACGACGACAAGAACCACGATGTCCAGCAGCTGCAGTACTCGATGATGCGCTGCCGCAGCGCGACGCCATTTGTAGTATTGTTCTGTGTGAGCGGCGGTGCCGCACAGGCCGCTCTCCCTCGCCTCGGCGGTGTGCGGGTGGTGCGGCGTGGCGCGGGCCGGGGGCGCGCGGTAGGCGTACGGGGCCGCGTGCGCGTGGCCCGCCCGTGCGTGGTGCCCCTGGCTGGGTCGGGCAGCGCATCGCGAGTGAGGCCCCGGGGTGGGGCAGGTGAGGGAGGGGGCGGGGACGGCCGGGCCCCGGTGAGCCCCGGGAGGCCCGAACACCCGTCCCCGCTGCTGTGAAAAGCACCCAACGGGCTTCTTGTCCTCGGCGACGAGGCGTGTGTGTGGCCTCGGCCGCGCGGCCGGCAGACGCTGAGCGAGGAGCCCTCAGGAGAGTCAGCGACAACGTCGCCGCGACGGCATCGATGCCTGAGGAGGACGCTCCGCAGGCGCCCTCCTGGCAGGACACCAACGAGGTGGCTCGCGACCTCCACCGCGCGCTCGCCGGCCCGTCCGCGCCGCTCGTCCCTCGCTCACACACCGCCGACGAGACGAGTCTGCCGTCGCACTACCGAATCGCGCCTTCGGTCGGGACCGCGTCCGACAATGCGCAGCCTGGCGGCTTCCGGCGCGCGCACCTGAGGCTCGCGCTCGGCACGCTCCCCGAGTATGCCTCGCAGCCGCTCACTGCGCACCTCTCCTCAAAGCGCTGGGCGGTGGTGCTGCAGCTCGCCGACGGCACGGAGGTGCAGTACAAGTCGCGAGGCTACCGCCGTGGCCTCGGCCCCACCGTGCTGCACCTTCCCGACGGGTCGGCGCCTCCTCCTCCTCCTCCCTCCGTCTGCCTGCTGTGGCGGCCTCGCTCCATCTCGTACTGGCGCGCGGGCCTAGTCAGCACTGCAACCTCTCTGCCTCTCCTCCGCCTGGCCTCCTCTCGATCTCGCACCGATGCGTGTGCCGGGCACGGCTGACCGCGGTGGCGGGCCGTGCTGCTGACTGCTGCGCCCAGTGACAGCAGGTGCTCCCTCTCCTACCTCCTCGGTGCGATCCTCTTTGTCGAGGGGTCGGTCGCGTGGATGGTGCCTGCGTGGGGGGATGCGGAGCGAGGCGCGCCGCCCGACACGGCGCACGCCCTCGTCGAGTGGCCGTACTTTTGGGGCTCGCTGCTGGTGCGCGACGGAGCGGCCGCTGCAGCACATACGCCACAGCACACACACACGCTACGCAGACACGACAGCAGACACGCTACAGCAGACACGACAGCAGACACGCTACAGCAGACCGCTCCAACTCTCACCGCCACCACCGCACGCACACCACACCGCCGCCACACCATCGCCACACCGCCGCCACACCGCCGCCACCACAGCACCGCCGCCCGCTTCACCGCCGCGCCCCCGCCTGTCCGGCCAGTTCGGCGCCGGCTGCTACCTATCCTTTGTGGAGGTGATCAACGCCAACCTCGAGCAGGAGGTGCTCAACGAGGAGGAGCTGCAGCGCGACGGGCTGCAGCCGCTGCAGCCGCAGCCGCAGCCGCAGCCGCCGCAGCGGGGGCGGGGGCGGGGGCAGGGGCTGGGCGAGGCGCTGCGCGAGGGCCTGCGCGAGGGCCTGCTGTGCCAGCCGAGCCTCGCCGACTCGCCGCGCCTCGCTGCCTCGCCTGGCGGCGGGAGGGAGCCTCCGCTAGTGAGGCGTGCCTCCCGCGACTTGTCGCACCAGTCGCTGCCGAGCCGAGAGGGCGGCGGGCGGCGGAGCAGCGCTGACTCGCCAGCGGGGTGCGTCGAGTGGCTCCGCTCGCTCGCCTGGTGGGAGGCGCAGCTCGGCTCGCTGCTCTGGTGGGCCGTCCTTGTCCAGCTGGTCGGAGGACTCCTCTTCGCAGTCTCGTGCGGCCCGCCCCGGCCCACCCCCTCCCCCGCCCGCAGCCCACACGCACGCAGCCCCCTTGCCCCCCGCCCCCCTCCTCGACCCGCGCCTCCCCGCCCCCGCGCCGCGCGCGCAGGTGCTACGCGGGGCTGCCCGGAGGGAGCGCCAGCCTGCCTGCCCCCGCCGGCTGGCACGCGCAGCTCTGGTGCTACGTGCCCTGCTTCGCGGGCTCCGTCTGTTTCGTCTTCGCCTCGGCCGTCTTCGTGGCGGAGGCGTCCGTCGAGCCGCGCAGCCTCGGCGCGAGCATCGCCCGCCTCAACCTCGCCGGCTCCGCCCTCTTCCTCCTCGCATCGGCCGGCTACTTCCTCGCCGAGCCACCCTCGAGCCCGCTGCCGGCGCAGGCGCGCTTCCCCGCCTCGGAGGGGCTGGTGCGCCTGCCCTTCGCGGTTGGCTCCGCCTGCTTCCTGGTGAGCGCGCTCCTCGCGCTCGCCGAGCTGCTCGTCGTGGACGCGGAGAGGACGCCGGAGCGGTGAGGCGCGAGCCACTTTGCTC